ATTGGTGCCCCTCCAGTTCAGGTGCAACCCATCCTTCTTGTACAGGTCCCACCTTCCCCAGAAGTTATCCCAATGATACACATACCTGAAGCCCTGCCTCCTACACCAGCTCTGTAGCCACATGTTCACTGCACTTGCTCTCTATTCCTAGCCGTGGCACTGGCAGTAATCCTGAGATTACTATTCTGCCTGCCCTGCCTTTTAGCTTCCAACCTAACTCCCTATATTCACTTTCAGGTCCTCATCCCTGTTCCTAGTTATGTCATTGGTACTGATGTGTACCACAACTTCTGGCTGTGGGGGAGCTGTAACGATTTTTGTCCTTGTTAGAAATCTGGGCACTGCCCAATCAACACAGCTATGTCTGCATCATCCAATACTGGCCGCCAGACATAACATCTTACCAATATCTTCATTATGGAAACACCTCGATGACCCTGTAGGAGTTCAGCCAGAATTTGGTGGTGACCATTGCTCGGGACAATCACCCTTGCTCCCCATAATAATACGCCGTCCTCTACTGTGATCTGGTCTCTCTGGGTCCAAAATGATTTCAATTCTGGTTGTGATGGTGCTTTGGTTTCCCCCAGATACTCCTTATTGGTCTTCCCTGTTATTAGCATGTCATCTGGTTGAATGGCGACCTGGGATAGACCTTGTAAAATGTTCTCCATCATCCACTGAAAAACTGCCTGGACTGATGATACACCAAATGATAGTCTCGTATATTGGTACAATTCCTTATTGGTATTACTTGTAGCATACTTCTGGGAATCCTCATCTAACCGCAAATGCAGGTAAGCCTGGCTCACGTCCAGCTTCGTGAAGGACAGCCCCCCTGCCAGCTTTGCATACAAATCCTCTATACAAATAGTTAATCCAGTTGCAAAATGCAGTTCACCATTTGTTTAAAATCCCCACAAAAGGTGAACCAATCCATCTGGCTTCACAATCATTATGATCGGTTCTGCCCATTCCGCAAACTGGACTAGTTTGATGATTCAGAGATAGTAGGAACTGCAGATGCTGGAGAATCCGAGACAACAAGGTGCAGGGCTGGATGAACACAGCAGGCCAAGCAGCATCATAGGAGCAGAGAGGCTTTTTTGACGTTTCGGGCCTAGACCCTTCATCAGAAAAGTTTGATGATTCCTTCACTTTCCAGCCTTCTGATTTCTGCCTCTAATTTTGCCTATATGGCAAACGGCAATGGGCAGACCTTGCAAAATTGCAGAATTGCTTCCTGGTCAACATGCAAGGTGGCCTTGGTTCCTTTGATAGTCCCTAGACCTTCCTGAAAAACATCTGGGTATTTAATTAAGACTTCATTCCTGGCAGCCACTTTCTAATTGAAAGATGTGGAGACATCTAGGTGAACCTTTCTCAACTAATTTTGCTCCATCAAACTTGGGCCCAAGCCTTTTACTACAATCAGCGGTAATTGAACTAGCTCCTTCTCTTGAGAGACGAGAACCGAAGTTGTACCCTTAAAGTGTAAAGGTTCTCTGGTGTCAGTTCTCAATCTAGCAGAGATCTTGCAGAAACATAAGGGTTGCAGTCCAGAGCAAATTTTGGTAAAGACCGGTTCTGCAATTTTTTCCTTATTCATTAGAGGGGTGATGGTGTCACTGGCTAGGCAGCATTTATTCCCCATCCCTAATTGCCCAGAAGTCAACCACATTGCTGTGGGTCTGGAGTCACATGGGGGCCAGACCAGGTAAGGATGGCACAGGACATTAATGAATCAGATGGGTTTTTTCCAACAATCGACAATGGATTCATGGTCATCATTAGATTCTTAATTCCAGATATTTTATTCAATTCAAATTCCACCATCTGCCGTGGTGGGATTCAAACTTGGGTCCCCAGAACATTATCTGGGTCTCTGGATTAACAGTCCAGCGATAATACCACTAGGCCATTGCCTCCCCTACTTAAATGGCTGTGCTGGTATCGACCTCCATTGTAACTGAGTGACCATTTAACCAGAATTTATTTTGATTGGATTTGATTTGGATGTTGCTAAGTAATTTAACTATTCCAAACCAGATGTAGGTGGATTTTCCAGGGTATGCACTCCCCTGGATACTGGCCTACGAGTTCTCTTACTCAATTTAGGTCTAGTAGGACTCTTTTGTCTCGAAGCCGCATACCACCAGCAATTACAATGGCTTGCCAGCCCTAATTCTGAAGAAAATGTTAAGCGTTTGGCAGAGGTTTGACTTTGTTTTGGGGTTTTGCTGTGGGCTGTCCTAGAGTCCCTCTGTTCAGGGTATGTCCTGAGTGAGGCTATGCAATTGCCTTCACTCAAACAGTGTTCCCCAAAACTCAGTCGGACTGGCAAAAGTGTCCACTTCCATCGGAATACCCTGCAACTGTAGTGCCTGTTCAAAGACCAGTTGGGCTTCAGCTAGTAGGCACTTTTGCATAGTTACATCATTCATTCCACATCCCAAATGGTCTCTCAGTATCTCACTTAGCGATAAACCAAAATCATGTCTTTACCAGTCATCTTAATCTCATCAAAAATCCTGATACGGATTCCCCGGTTCTCAGTTGCCAAGTAAAACTGATTGTATCTCAGAATTAGAGGAGGCTTGGGGTTGTAATATACCCTACTTAAATCCATCAACTCTTCTAAAGGTTTTAATAACTGGTGCCTCAGGAAACGTTAAGCTCCTAATAACTGAAAAAGCTGCGGGTCCCAAGCTGTCAGGAGAATTACTCAATGTTTTTCATCTGCCCCAGTGTCATTTGACTGGAGAAAATAACGCATTCTTTCCACATACTGGGTCCAGTGTTCGACAGCAGGATCAAACGAGTCAAGCTTCCCAAATAATGGCATGATGCCAGAAATGCTTACCCCAACTCAAAGACAACTATTGCAAGTGAATTTCTTCAGGAGCATGATTTTCTCTCATTGCCACCGAAATAACCCCACAGAGGCCAGTATCTCATCACCAAATCACCCTTTATTCACACATGGAGAGTCCTTGACATTGATCCAACTCCCATAGAGTCAGCTGTCGGACTGAATAGGGTGTGTGACATTCCTTTTCTTCTCTGTCAGTCAGGACTCCCTGATTGGACCAGATTAACAGCTGCAATCAGGGGAGTCATATTCTGAGGTCCATCTGGCTGACCTTGTTACAATCTCTACAGGACCAAATGGTCTCCTTTTGCACTATATCTGTGACAGATGAGACAAACTGAATAAGAAAAACTGGTGCTTTGTTGCACTCACTCTCTAATGGTCCAGGTGAAAGCAGGGCATCATAGAATGATTTAGTGCAGGCAGAGACCATTTGTGCTAGCTCTTCAATAGGCCTAGCCACTAATCCTACTGCCCTATTCTGTGCCCATAGCCCTGTAAACAGTTTCCTCCTTCGAGTACTTACGAACCCTTCAGAATTCAGATAATGTATTCTATATCACAGGAACAACTTCCTGCATGAAAAAATGTTTCATGTCACAATATTGCAGTAATTGCACGGAATGTATTCAGTTTGGTATCTGATGTGTTTATTCATAATATAGGATATAAAGAGATTGTAGATGTAATTTGGGAACCTACTGAGAAACATTTCATTTCCTGCTCACAGAAAGCTTTACTTTCCTTTACCCAGAATGTTCTATTGAGAAAAGTAATAATGTACAGCTCGCAACCTGCTTTATCCTTTGATTTCTCTAACATCTAGCCCACAATTGCTGACCTTGATTCTTCCAATAATGTTGCAATTATCACCCTCTGTGATAAAAACTTAACATTCATATAGTGCCTTTTCATAAAAGGTAACTGCAATCTCTGAGTCAGAAAACTGTGAGTTCAAGTCCCATTCCAGATGCTTGATGACAAAAGTTAAGCTGGCATTCCAGTACAGGTCTAAAGGAATGCAGCAGTATCAGCGGTCCTTCCATTCAAATTATCTGAAGCACTATTTGCACTTCAGAACAGTTGAAAAACAGGGGAGTTCATCTGGTGTCCTGGTTGGTACTTGGATAAATCCCGGGTAGAGAAGGATTTTCCTATGAGGAGACATTGAGCAGGTTGGACTTCTGCACATTGGCGTTTAGAAGAATAAAAGGAGACCTAATTGAAATATACAGGATTCTTAGGGACACAACATTTCTGCATCAATACTGTCAACCCCCCTTTGTGGGCAAGTGTAGGACTGGGTGGGGGTTGGTATCTCAGAATTAGGCGTCATCTATTTAAAATGGAGATGAGGAGGAACTTATTCTCTTATAAGAGTGATGAATCTGTGGACTTCTTTACCACAGAGGGCTGTCAAGGCAAAATCTTAAGTATATTCAAAGCTGAGATGGACTTTTAATCAGCAAAGAAGTCAAAGGTTATGGGGATAAGGCAGGAAAGTGAAGTTGAAGATTATCAGATCAGCCATGCCTTCATTGTCATAGTAAACTCAATGGTCAAATAGCCTGTGTTCCTGCATCTTACTCAAAACAAATTATTTGGTCAGTACCAATTGCTGTTTCTGGGCCTTTGCTATGCATTAATTGGCTAGAGTATTATAACAGACACTACACCTCTAAAAGTTACATCCGAGTTTTGCAATCCTGAGGTCATGGCAAGTGATGAATAAATGGATCTTTTTTCTCCCCTCATATTTCAAAGCACCTTTTAACTAAATTAATTACTCTGGAACCTTTGAGGCAAACAGCTAAGCTATTTTGCATACCACAAAATCCCATGAATAGCAATGCCACTAATGAACTAATTAATTAATTAGCAGAGCATCACTGGAGGGAGGTGGAGGAGAGAAGAGCTGGTGTCAAAGCATTGGTTCGTAAATATACTGGCCTGCAGCTAGTGTAACCTCCTTCCCCCTCCTCCCACCCCCCAAATCATACAGTAGAATCTTCAATTTTCCGAAGAAGCTACAGCAATATTCCCATTATTAACTCTTAGAAAGAATATGAATGTTTCACATCAATACCATCAGCTTTTGCTGAAATCCTAATGCCAATCATTCACATACCTCCAGAGATGGAGTTTGATGGCTTTGACTTTGACTGGGGCAGATCCTTCATTCTTGACACAAGGTTTTCAGACAGCTGCAAAGGAACATGTTTTGTTAGGCTGTGGCATTCTTTGCATGAGGTCTTCTCCATAATCATAACTACTTTTATTCAGACAGGGATAGAACCAGCATGATTTGAGAGTCAGAAATTAGCAACTTTGCAAAATGAAAATTAGTATCAATCCCCAACAGCTCAGTGAGAGAGTGCACGCTTTGTATACCTGTGGCATCCTGAACTTATATGAATACAGGTTAAATCACTGGCTCTTTTTTTATTTAGCAACCAGGATCCTAGTTAAGATACTAATAATAACTACATTTGTTATTGGCTACAGGAAGTAAGAGGTATGTTTGCATTTCTATTGCTTCTGATCATGCTTCTTCCAAGAGTCCCAAAGCAATTCACAGAGACAGCATATTATTCTCAGGCACAATTAATGTTATGTAGAAAAATACAAGCCAATATGCACAAAGCATCATCTCACAAACAGCCATGAACTGAATGCCAGGTGATCTGTTTTGATAGCGCTGGTTCAGGAAGAAGTGTCAGGCAGGAATAATTCACTGCTCATTTTCACAAGGTGCCATTGAGCAGAAACATCAGAACTTTCAGATCAGGCCTCCACCGAACACTGCACTTGCAAGATGGCATTTCTGGCAGTGTCAGCAGTACTACGCTAACACAGAGCAGCAATAGCGTAGGCATCAGCAACCCTCTGGAATGTCACCAAAGTATCCTTTCTTTATCTGTCAGCCTAGACCATGAGTACAAATGTTAGTTCAGTACACAATGGACAAAACGTAGGGTAGGAGCAAATTACTGCAGATGATGGAAATCATAACGGTTCAGGCAGTATCCATGGAGAGAGAGCAAGCTAATGTTTCAAGTCTAGATAACTCTTCATCAGAGCTGACGTAAAGTGTGGAGGGGACAGCATTTATGGAATAGTGGCAGGAGTGGACTGCTGGGGGGAGAAAGGCTGCTGATACTGCATATTAAGTAATTGGAATGTAAGAATGGCAGAAAAATGGTGTGTGTAACTTGCAAACTGGGAAGAACGGATAGTCCCACTAGAGTGGGGGGAGGGGAACGAGGACATGGTGACAGAGAATGCATCAAGGAAAGCTAGAAGGGAAGAAATGGAAGTGAGTTCACAACCTGAAGGTACAACACCTGCCTCTTCACCTCCTCAGTAAAAACCAAAAGAACAGCGGATGCTGTAAATCAGGAAGAAACACAGAAGTTGCTGGAAAAGCTCAGCAGGTCTGGCAGCATCTGTGAAGAAAAAAATCAGAGTTAACGTTTTGGGTCTGGTCAGGTCTGGTTTCATTTCTGAGGAAGGGTGACCAGACCCGAAACGTTAACTCTAATGTTTTCTTCACAGAGGCTGCCAGACCTGCTGAGCTTTTCCAGCAAATTCTGTTTTTGTTTCTTCACCTCCTCCCTGCTCAACATGCAAGGGCCGAAACAGTCTTTCCAGGTGAAGCAGCATTTCATCTGTACCTCCTCCAATCTGGTCTGCTGCATTCATTGCGCTTCACGTGGCCTACACTATATTGGAGAAACTAAACATTAGATTGGTTGACCATTTTGCAGAACACCTCCAGTCCATGCATAAGCATGACCCTGACCTTCACACAGCTGATCATTTTAGCACAACATCCTGCTCGCATGCCAACTTGTCTGTCCTCAGCATGCTGCAGTGCTCCAACGAATCACAGCGCAAACTGGAGGAACAACATTTCACCTTCAGCCGAGGAATTTTACAACCTTCTGGACTTAATATTGAGTTCAACACTTTCAGATTGTGAAATCACTCTCATTTCTTCCCTTTCTTTTAGTTTTACGTGTTGCATTCATTGTCACCTTGTACTGTCTACCCACCCCCTACCCCAGTGGGACTATATGTTCTTTCCAGTTTGCCACTTAAACACACCATTGTTCTGCCATTCTCACATTGCAACCACTTAATCTGTACTATCAGCAGCCTTTCTCCCCTGGCACTCCAACACCCCCCACTTGACTACAGCATAAATGCTGCCTCCTCCACATTTCACATCAGCTCTGATGAAGAGTCATCTAGACTCTAAGGTTCTGGAGTAGATCTGTAGCGCGGGTTATGGGTGTTGAGGTTGGTTGGCTCACCGAGCTGGTTTGTTGTTCCGCAGACGTTTCGTTACCGTACTTGGTAACATCCTCAGTGCAGCCTCTGATGAAGCGTAGGTGTGTTTTCCCACCTGGTTTTTAAACTCTGGGGTCCGTTGCGATGGATTGCCTCACTTCTGGGTTTCCTCCGTAGTGGAATGTATATGGGGTCGAGTTCAATGTATTTATTAATAGCATGCTTCGTGGAGTGCCATGCTTCCAGGAGTTCTCGTGCTTGTCTCTGCCTAGCCTGTCCCAGGATCTTGGTGTTGTCCCAGTCGAAGTGGTGGTT